TTTTAGTAAATATTTAACTTTATTTAATTTTTAAGTTAAATATTAACTTATACATAATAAAAAAATTATCTATAAATAAAATATCACTTATGAGTAAAAAATATATGTAATTTTATTCTTTTAAAACACTTTCAGAACTGATAGATAATAAACTCTCAGTCATATATTCGACAGTTTTAAAAATTACTACTAAAGCCACTCAAAATCGATCAGCTCATAAACACTCAAAATCAATGATTTAAAAAGGCTCAGAACCTATACGCTACGCCGAAACTCCCAAGCAGACTCTAAGTTTCTCGCATTAATTAGAGAGAGTACTTGAAACTTTGGTCTACTTAAAGCAATTTAAAATATACTAGTTTGGGAGGTGTTTATAATAGATTTAAATTATAAACATATAGAAATGAGTTGAGAATAAGTTGGTAGTAGTTATGGATCCTACAAAATATGTTTATGAAAAGGTAAATTTGAATAAAAGTGTTTATGATTATACAACTACCAAACAAGCGCTAAGTTGAGATAAAACCTATACTATGAAAACATGTTTCTTTGATTAATAACATGTTAAGACCTGCAGCAACATGTCCTAGTTGATTGCTAGGTTGTTACAGGATTAGGGTATTTGGGGAAAATTGCAAAATAAGTGTAGCACCAGCTCTATATAAGAGAGGGAGTTCTATCTTCGTTTAGTCACACATTTTGGTATTTGGTGAGAGAGGCAGCCTCTCTAAAGCTAGTTATCTGCAATTCATTGGCGCAAGTCGCTACTAATGTAAGGCCATTGTATGCAAATGGTCTCTATTCAAGTTTTCCCAAGTGTTCGAGCTAACCAAGTCCGACCCACCACTTTAGTGGTAAATATTTTGAATTTATCTACTTGTACATAATTTGGTATATATTAAGGTATGCACCCTCTCACATGAGGGTGTGATGCACTTGAATAAAAAATATTTTCTCCAAGCGGGCCCACCCCCATGTGAGGGGGTGGATACCTTGATGTACATCAAATTATGTACAAATAGCAATGCTCAAATATTTTTACCAACTGCACAAAACTTGGTGAAAAATAACAAAACTTCATAGCTCTCTATAGA